ACAATACGGAACGAACCAGCTGCCAGGAACCATACCAGACAGACAGAGCAGGGAGGAAGTAGTACCACCCAAGTAAGTCGCAGTCGCAGTAAGTTAGTAGTCAGTGAGTTACCACCCTGCGACCTGACCGGCAAACCACTGGAAAGTATGATACCGATGGCCTGCAAATTCATGGATTTCTCTTCTTTTTTTTTTTATCGATATTTAATTAATATTTTTAATTCTTATCTTTATTTTCGCCTTCCTACAGTGATGGATGGGATTTCTCTTTATCTCCCCCCCCTTTGAATTGCAGATTCCTCAAGCAAGCCATTCCAGCCTGCGGGAAAGCCAATCCGGACGTTGGTTCCTGACGAGGAATGAAACACGCGTAGGTTGGTTCCCTTTCCTTCAATTGTCCCTCTCGTTTCCCGTTTCCTTTTCCCACCAAACCCGGTAGTACCGCTACTACCACTTACCACTAATACTACTTACTACTGCTAATTACCACTATTACTATTAACTACTACCACCGCTACTCTCCTACTAAGAATACTTTGCGACTCCCAAAACTACAATACAATCGATACCACTCACGACTACTACCTCTACTTTCCCTTCACTCTTTCTAATTCCCTTTTCTCTTCTCCCCCCTCTCCTCTCTTTCCTTCTCTCTCTTCCCCCCTCCCTTCATTCAAATTCATCTACTCCATACATCCCCTGGAATTATAACGCCACCATCTCTCGGGCTACACCTCCATCTTTCCTTCCGTGCAACTCGATTCAGTCTTCTTCCCGCCAGGCACTGGAACGCCCGCTCGTCATCCAACTCCATCCATCCGCTCTCTCCCTGCCAGGTTCATATACCACCTACTACTACTTACCTCTACTACTACTCCCTTTGCACTGGCAATCCCCGTCTCAACATTGGTTCCCTTTCCGGTGCACCCTGTGCAAGGATTCATCATCCGGGTGATCAGCGGTACTTCTTAAAGTCTTGTCCATTTCTCTTGAATTACTTCATCGCCTTGGGATAGAGACTGGTTCTATTCTGCATTTGCATTGCGCATCCTTCCCGCTTCGGCGATTGTTATCACTTGGGACGACAAGCCTTGACTTGGCTTCTTTATTATCATCTCGAAGTGGCATTTGCTCGTATCGATGCTTCTTTGACCCTCTCCCAAGTTTCACTTGCCCGTATGAGCCCTTATCTGCGTTGACCACCACTACCCGCTCATACAACTACACCCCCTCATCCCTCATCACCATCAGCTTGGGATTGGGAAACCCTCTCTGATCGCCTTCCTCCTCACCCAAGACCAATCTCTCCCTCTCTAAATCATGTCGGCCCCATTGGTCAAAGTCTTGCATCGAATGCAAGAACTTTTTACGAACATAGTTGCCGCCTTGGAGGCTATGCTATTGTTCCCTTCCCTCTTCCGCGACCCCTCCCGTAAGCGGCGGAAGCCTTTCCATGGAGCGTATTGGGGACGTCGCTCCCTTGATGCGTTTGCTGACGAGGTGGATCGTCTGTTCACGGCGCCTTTGTCTGTGCAGAACATGGTCGCCATGTCAGACAAGATCCGTGCGCAGTTCAAGTCTTGTCTACAATCTAGCCCCGTCTGCATGCTACCTTCTTACAACCATGCCCTGCCCTCCGGAACAGAGACGGGAACGTTCCTCGCACTGGATGTCGGTGGCTCAACGCTGCGGGTAGCATTGGTTGAACTACGTGGGCAGGGAGACATGCGCATCCTTCACGTCTCTTCGTCGTACATTGACGAAGATGTCAAGTTGCTGGAGGGCACTCTCTTCTTTGATTGGATGGCGGAGAAGATCGACTCGATGCTACGCGAAGTGGGCACCAACTATGGACGAGAGGCCGTGCCACTGTCGATGGGATTATCGTGGTCGTTCCCCATTGAACAAACGTCCAACAGTAGTGGTCTCGTTATCCACATGGGCAAAGGATTTCACTGTTCAAATGGCACCGTTGGGCAAGAGCTGGGTGATCTTATCGTTCAGTCTTGTCGGAAGCGAGACCTCAATGTCCAGGTGGATGGGATCGTGAACGACAGCTCCGCAACCCTCCTCTCACGCGCCTACATCGAACCCAAGACACGCATGTCGCTTATTCTAGGAACTGGAACTAATGTGGCGATCCACTTTCCAGTTCATGAGATTGGACTGACCAAGTTCGGTACGAGACCACCAGGTTGGTTCGACTACGCCAAGCACGTTATCGTCAACAGCGAAATGAGCATGTTTGGCGGCAGTATCCTCCCCAAGACTCGCTGGGATGAGGTTTTGAACCGAACACATCTTCGGCCGGACTACCAACCTCTGGAGTATATGATTACTGGGCGTTATCTGGGCGAGATCATCCGTCTCATCATTGTTGAAGCGGTGGAATCTGCCAAGCTCTTCGGCGGGGAGTTGCCTCATTCGATGCGCGATGCATATTCCTTCGACACCAGTATCGTTGCAGCGCTGGAAGCCGATACAACCCCGCTTCTCTCATCGTCTGCGGCGCTTCTACAGAAGGAACATACATTTACTGTGTCACCGTCTGTCGAAGATTTGCGCTTCCTCCGACGAGTCTGCCAGGTCGTCTCTAAGCGAGCAGCAGGATATCTCGCAACGGCAATCCACAGCATGTGGTGCCTGCGGAATGAGGCAGAATTTCCCGCGACGGCCCCCTCGGCCCCCCCTTCGATCAAGGAAACGCAAGAGGTGACCGTGGTAGAAAGCGAAGAGAATCACCGGAGCCTGTCAATCGCATGCGACGGCAGTGTCATCAACAAATACCCTGGGTTCCGGGACCGTTGCCAGGGTTATTTGAATGACCTTGTAAAGGAGACGAACGCGTCGCGGCCATCGTCGGATACCACCACGGAACCTCAGGTGTGCCTGGACCTGGCACCTGAAAGCGCTATACTGGGAGCGGCCGTAGCAGTGGCTGTCGCCGTTGCGGAGAAGAAGCTCGAGTAGACTACGTTATCCAGCATTCCCTTGTCTCCCATCTGAACTCCATACTCTTATCTCTATATTAGATCCATCAGCCCATCGGCTACATTCGCATTCCGAGGTGTTGTGCGGCAGCTTTGCATTTACTTGGCCAACATTTCGCTCTTGGTGCTCTGGGTGTCGGACATTGTCATTTCCATTTTGTTGTTCTATTGGGGCTCCTCCTAAGCCACCCGATTCATGCATTTGTGCTTCCATAGGGAGCATTTATTGCTTTTGCATAGACAGAACAGGTTCATCAATAACGGGGGCGGAGCATTTCTTGACCTTTTGGCGGACTAGACGGTTAGGCATGTGGCCTGAGATAGAAGCGGGGATTGTGCGTGTGTACATAATGTTAATCGTCAATACAAGAGTATCGAGCCACTGGGCGCACTGAGGCCCCAGTGAGGCCGAAGCCGAGGTTTGGGTTTTTGGGTGAATCCCCACATCACAGCGTGCATCCTGCCAAGGCCTTGCCAACGAAAAGGCACAAGACCGAGGAGAATCATTTGTGCAGCTTCGCCGATGAAAAAGGGACAGACACACTATCTAGCCCCATGATGGATCACAAGAGTGAAATCTACATCAACTTATTGCCTTTTCAAGCATCAGTCATATCATCGTATGAATACAAATCACTCCCGACAAAGATCCTGCAACAACTCCAACATTTTCAGTTGAAGCGCCGACAATTCCTCTCGGGAAAGCTGCTGCTGCTGCTGCTTGACCGCCGGGGCAGTAGTTGTTGTTCTTCCCATATTTGATGGGTCCGACTCCGAAACAAGACCCTTCTTGATAGTGAAAAAGGGAATCCTGAGTGCCTTGAGCTCCGCTATCATAGCATCGGACATCTGCCTGGAGGCTTTGTATACTTTTGCGTCGTAGTTAGTTAATTCGGCGCGGTCTTCTTCGGCTGTCTGTTTGATTCATCATTGAGTGTTAGCTGTGTAGGTAGTTCTCTGTTGTGTTTTGTTTGTCTGTGTGAGAGATAAGGACAATCACCAGCACTATGGGTGGATGATCTTCCTTGTGCTTCTCCTTCATCTGTATCCAGATCCGCATATGACCTGCACGCAAGGAAATACATACAGAAACTTGCTTATTCTCATCAACAGGAGCGCCGACAGATCGTCTAATCATCACAAATTCCATTAATGATTAACTCATCTTCTTTGCCTGACTTCTTTCTCATTGTTGTTTTTGTAGATTGATGATTGGGGATAAATAGGAATAGAGTGAGACTTACAGCACAGCATCCAACTCCTTCTTCTTCTCCGTCCGGGCAGATTGTTTCTTCAAGAGCGCTTCGCGTCCCTGCCACCATTGTTTCTCATGGTCGTGTTGGCGTTGGATTAGCCAGCGGAGACGGCGCTGGATTTCTTCGTTTTGGGCTACTGTGCGCATGACGTAGCGGAGGGCCGTTGGCCAGGTGGTTATGGTGGAGGTGTCTTCGGTGATAGGTACTGCTGGTGCTGGTCGTGGTTGTGGGTGTGTTTGGTGATGTTGAGGTCGTGAGGAGGTGGGTTTCGGGGGTATGGGGAGCTGGGGGAGGGATTCGCTGGGTTCGTAGGGATCATTGTCTTCTGTTGGTATTGTTGGTGTTGTGGGGTCTGGGTTGTGAGAGTAGGGAGGATGTGATTGCGGTTGTAGTTGTAGATGTTGTGGTTGTGATTGTGGTTGTGATTGAGGTTGTTGCTGGTTGGAAAAGGCGGAGAGGGTTCTGAGGACGGAGCTCAAGTCTGGTGCGTTGTAGTCCATAGTGCGATAATCATAGGAGATGTGATGAAATTTAATGATTTCTGTAGCTCGACCATCAAGCTAACTAGAGTGGTGTCAATGTAATAGCTCTCTAGATGATAAAACTATGGAGTAAATCGGAAGCGGAGTTGTAGTAAGTTAGTGTCCGGCTCGGCCTCGAATCGACGAGGTTGGATTTCTTTCCGCTGAAAATTTCCCCGGCCGGCAATCATTCCCAATTCCTCCTCCTCCAAACTCCGCCTGACCCCCGTTGGCTTCAGCTGCTCTCCCCTCCCCAGCTCGACAATCCCAATATCGTGCCTATTGGATTCGACCCTCCGTCGTCCTCTCCAATTAACCCCGACTTATTCCCTGGGCGTGCGCAACCCTTCGTCTCTCCCACCCCCCGCCCACCGCCGAATGTACCGTTCCGACTGATTCCATCCCGGTCACATCATACCATATCACCACCACCACCACTATTACTACTACTACTACTACCACCATCCTCGTGCATCCTCACCGAAAAATCCATCCTCGCCGACTCAATCCAAAAATGTCCCGCTCCGCTGCAGACGCGACCCGGTTCACGGCCACCGGGCCCTACGCGCACTCCAAGCCCGGCTCGGCCAGCGCGGCGGCCCCCTACAAGCTCCCTAGCTCGATGGCGAAGCCCACCTCCCAGCAACAGCAACAGCCGCAGTTAAACTCCAATGGCAGACCGGAGTCTCCCAAGGAAAAGGTCGAGCGGTTGAGGGCCCAGGCCCGCGCGGCCCGGTTAGCTCAGTCGACGTCGCGGGTGGATCAGATGATTGAGGTAGGACGTCGATTCGCGAACAAGGCGCATAAGACGATGGTGTACACGCTGATTGCGGCATCTGGTATGTTTCCATCATTTACCATGATATAAGTGTGACGACGAAAGTGGACTACACATATGTGTTGAGCCGCCGCGAGGGTTATGGGAATCATTGACTGACGCGTTTCGGGAATGAATAACAGGTGTCTGCGGAGCTCTAACAGTCTACTCTGTCATCTCTCTAACGCTATACAACCGTCGGCAGCGGGCTCTGTGGGTGGAGAAGGAAATGCAGAAACTGCAGGATGCGAAGACGGCGTATGCTGCCGGTACGGCTAACACGGAGCAATTGGAGCTGCTGAAGAACGAGAAGATCGGGGAGATCTTCCAGCAGAAGAAGGAGGAGGCTAAGGCGCAGCGGCCCTGGAATCAGGTCAAGAACTTCGTTTTTGGTGGTTTGAAGCAGGATGAAAAGGCCGCTGCTGATAGCAGCAGCTCTATCCCCGATAGTGTCCTGGAGGGCGGCAACAAGTCCGCAGTGCTGGAGGCTTTGAACGCCAAGGCTGCGGATGATGCGGCCAAGTCTGCTGCTCCTGCTGTTCCCAAGGGCCAGCTGGATGCGTTGGCTGAGAACGCCGAAGATGCTGCGAAGCAGTCGACGCGGAGCTGGAAGAGCTGGTTTACTGGACGGTAAGGAGTCCAAGGAAAGAATTCTTTGGTATATGGAAATGGATGTATGACATATAGGGCGGAGGGAGGTGGTGGGTGTGTGTACGTGAGTGAGGATGGAAAACAAGGAATGTCTCAGGGATGACGCCTATCACATTTACTTATGCTGCTTTTCTGGTTTGCATGGCATCTTCTCCCTGTTTTTCCATAATCTGGGGTTGCGGCGTCTATGCGGGTTATATTGTATTTTTGTCTCGTCTTTTTTCTTTCTTTCTAGCTGTATTCTTATCTTGCTGTTGTTTGCTTTCCTCAACCTGTGTATTACTGGGTTAGAGTTCTTGTCTTTACTCTTGTGTACATATACATATCTACTATTCTCTACCTCTGGTATCTCTCTCATCTCTTGGTTAGAATAGTGCTTGCTGTCAATGGCTCAAGGTTAATTTAATCAAGAGGGTTTGGTCAATCGAGCAAAGTTGAATCTATACGGGCAATCAGATCTTGTCATACTCATCGTTCTATTATTGATTCATTACTGTCTACTGTGGACAGAACCTAAGTGAACAGGTACAGGCAAAAGAAATTATAAAACAGTGTAAAGAGAAGTAGTCAAGACTTTTACTGGAACAAAGACCGAAAATGCTGCCCGCACAGGCAGAGGCTGTCTGTCCAACACACCCATAACTCAGGAACTCGTGCCCGCAAAGTCAGATAAATGAAACCAAAATGAGGTAAAATAAAGCACCCTGGCTATGGTATCTAGATCGGATTATTCGGAACAAAAGGAAAAGGGAATCACACTCGCTGGGGGTTTCGTAAACGCAGATCATCCATCCTCAATCGCTCAGTGGGTGCCATTAGTGGTCTTGGCCTGAGCGGCTTTGGCGGCGCGTCTGGCACGGACACCATCAGCAAGGTCCTCCAGGACCTGGACGGTGGTCTCCCAGTCAATGCAGGCGTCAGTGATGCTGACACCCTTGCGCAGGCCGGAGGGACCCTCGGGGGGAACCTTCTGGTTACCCTCGTTGATGTTGGACTCAATCATAACACCGATGATGGCATCCTGGCCCTCACGGAGCTGGTCAGAGACCTCCTTGGCGACCAGAGGCTGGTTGCGGTGGTTCTTGTTGGAGTTGCCGTGGGAGCAGTCGACCATGACGACCTCGGGCTGCTTCTTGCCCGCCAGAGCCTCGCGGGCGGCCTTGATGCTCTCACGGTCGTAGTTGGTGCCCTTGTTGCCTCCACGGAGGATGACGAAGCCGTGCTCGTTACCAGCGGTCTTGGTGATAGCAGCCAGACCCTGCTTGGTGACACCCAGGAAGCGGTGGGGGTGAGCAGCGGCACCAATGGCATCAATGGCAACGGTGAGGTTGCCGTCGGTACCGTTCTTGAAGCCAATGGGGAAACTGAGACCGGAGGCGAGCTCACGGTGCAATTGCGACTCGGTGGTGCGGGCGCCAATAGCACCGAGAGAGATCAAATCGGCCAGGTACTGAGGGGAGATGGTATCCAGCATCTCACTGGCAATGGGCATGCCCATGCTGGTAAGATCAGAGTAGAGCTGACGTGAGACACGGAGACCCTTGTTGATGTTGTAGGACTCATCAATGTCGGGGTCGTTGATCAGACCCTTCCACCCCACCGTAGTGCGGGGCTTCTCAAGGTAGGCACGCATGATAACACAAAGGTCGGAAGAAAGCTTCTCGGAGAGCTCCTTCAGACGGCCGGCATATTCGAGGGCCGTGGCAGGGTCGTGGATCGAGCAGGGGCCGACAACAACCAGCAGACGGTCATCCTTCTTCTCGATAATCTTCATGGCCTGGTTACGGCCAGAGCGGACGGCCTCGAGGGATTCCTTTTTCTAATCATGTCTTCTGTTAGCCCCAATGGTCTGAACCGAGGCATTGACGATAAAAATAACTCAGAATGTGGTCGAGTTAAGAACCCAACCAATATGACAGGAAAGACTTGGAAAAATTGGTAGGGAAAAAGCAAGGGTGTGACTCACACCAGGGATCTCATTCTGGAGGTACTGAGGGGGAAGGAGGGGATCATATCCCAGGACTAAATGGATTGACAAATCAGTACAGGCTCATTGGCACTCAAAATGAGGTTTGTTTACTAACCGCGAGTGTCCTCATTGACTTCTGTGGTGCTGATCAAAGGCATGGTGGGGGGGGGGATTGGCTGTGTGGAAGGGATTATTCTGTATGAGGGGAAAGGAAGAAAGAGGAAGAATGATGGAAGAGGACAACAATACAGCCTTTATAAGGGGTCTAGAAGGGCCAGGAAGTGTGCAATGGAGATGAGTCAATGGGGAGAAGACAACCGAAGCGAAATCGGGGGTCAAAGAGAAAGCGAGCAAGGCACAAGCGAGAAAAGAAAAAAAAGAGCAGGGAAATGGAGCAAATGAGAGAAGATGGAAATGGCATGAAGAGACAGAAAGTGTGGGCCGCGGGAGCGCGGACCAGCCGATGATTCACACACTTGCAAAACTTAAGGTTGGTTGGCTGCAACCTACCGGTGGCGGTATCAGTACCGTATTGTCTGTCCCATGTTGTCACCATCCATCGTCCCATCTCTCTCTTTCTATCAACTCTTCTCCTGCGACGCTATCTTCCCTCCCTCCATCACCACTTGAGGTAGATGCTGCTTCAATTGACCCGCTTCTAGAGTTCAATAGTCCTCCTCCCCCCCCACCACCCATTCTTGATACATCCACGGGTCTCCTTCCCCTCCCATCATGGCCAGAACCACTGTCCTCGAGTCTGATGTGATCAATGCATCAAGGCTCCGTGGTGTGTGATACTGCATGATTCGACCACACTCAGCTTATCCCCCCTTCTCGCACAATTATCCACCTCAAAGAGGTGATTCATGGTACGAATAAGGTTCCCGCTTTAGGTTGTGTCAATTCAACCCCAACATCTTATCGAAAACGATAGCCTACCGTTCCAGATCGGTCACTCCATGACTTAATGCTATCTAGAGCACATCATGATTCGGATTACTCCGATTTCCGGTTTTCAACATGGATTCTTAAACCGCTGGTTGCCATTGTTCCTGGGCCCTGTCCCAGATAGCTTACGTCAATCAGCTTGTGACTCAAGGGATTAGACAACCAATGCTTGAGATGTTGCAGCCGAAAGAGAGAGCGATTGAAGTGAGCCATTGTAGCGTAGCTTCGTGTCGGGATTCTAGATTTTCGCCTGCATTTGATCACATAATCTGGATAATTTAGTCTTCCTGATGCATGAGATCATTCGATAAATCGATTGCGGTCCGCGAGTACGAGGCCTGTGTGATAAGCCTCGTATCTCTCAAATCGTCTTGTTGCGTACTCCATCCGGAGAATTAAATCGCCTTAGGGGGTTATGAGACGGACGGCTATGCATGCTGGGTCATATGTACTCCGTAGTAACACTGCCTATCCGGTGAGCCCGCTTCGTACGGGGTAAGGACCTCCACATCAGCGGGCCTTTGTCGAAACTGCTGGGCAGTTCGATCACTGTCAGCCAAGCAGCATGTAAGCAATGCGCTTAGCCATGCATGCGGCTTATTTTGTCTTCAGCTGAGCCTCGCATATTATCTGCTTTAATTGGACACGCCCAGTCACACGGTACTAGGATGGCGGGACATGCTGTATGTCGCTAAATTAGCTTTCAACAAGCACCATTCCTGCGAGACAGCCCGGCTTCTAGCTGAGTATAGTGTTAGGCTTGACGACCCCATGGGGCAAACTTGGTGCGAGTATCCCCACGAAGGGGAAGTTGGAAGGCCAGTAACTCGCCCACCTTGTATGGTAACAAGCCCCTGTATGTACCCCATGTTGAGCTAGACGTAAAACAGAGTGGCCCTGGGCGGCAGTTCCCGTGTGGACCTGGGGAATTGACCGTTAGGCCGTAGATCTGCTTGATCTAATCAATTTGCATTCTGAATCCCTCCACTGGAGAACCATTACCACGGCTTGAGGGGAAGGGCTCCGATCTCAGTGGACTCTGACCGGACCTAGGGTCGAGCTTGCAAAGGAAACGGCGAGTCAGACAGATCCTGTGGGTCTTCAGGGATGCTTCAGCTAGATTTTAAGAACTCAGAATGACCAAGAAGTGTTGGTAGCCAGTCGAAAATTCGTGTTGGGGGGGTGTTGAGGCATCCTGAGCCGGAATAGCGTTTTAGACCGGCTCGCGTGTAATCGCTTTGCCGCCCACTCACCGAGTCGAGGGAAGAACGCTTCCCCATCACGGCCGACCCCCAGCCCCTTCATCCCCACAGAATTGCCCTTACTGGGTTTCCCTGCATGCAGCCTGCTGTCGGTGCCTTAATACCAAAATACACTAAGATAATTAAGGTGCTTTCCGTGGCCCACTGTGTCCAAAATTGCTGCTACGGAAAATCAGCTAAGATGCTCGTATTGAAACCTGTATCTGGTATGGTTCCAGCACTTACCACTCTCAAGCATTGTGCTGTAGATCTCAACCGGCGCTCATGAATCTCGCTCCACACCTTGACTGACTGCAACTCCACATACGATACAAGAAAGAAAGATAATCGAAATAACAAATTTGTCAAAGTAAAGGTCGGTCCCAGACATGGCGTACAAAGACCCAAGGCATGCACTTCCTATTGTACCATCCACATCGTTCAAGGCAGAACCTCCTCTCCCTTCCAATCCCAACAGCGGCCCCGCCCGTCGGAGTCACCGGTCTGCATACCACAGAGGTGCTGTAATAGCTTCACCGCAGATTCTTCTGGCTGCAACATGTGCCTGCCATCCCAGTAATCTTTCGTGAAATCAGTCTGGACTGTCCCGGGATGCAACGCCACCGCCAACGCTCGGTCTCTACTCCGTGACCGCAGGTACAGATCGAAAGTTTTGGTCAGCTGAAATACGGATGCTTTGCTAGCACGGTATGAATACCAGCCCCCAGTTGAATTGTCCGATATGGACCCAACTCGTGCGGCCATCATCGCGTAGATCGCATGCGATGGAAGCTTCCACGGCCGTTGTACATGAGCCGACAGAGAATCGTCCGCAAAGGTTGCAGATGACTTCGTTGGCAAAAAAGGTGCCAAGTGTTTCATCAGAAGCATAGGACCAAGAGCATTGACTTGGAAGCTGTGCAGAGCATTGGCAGCATCAATCTGCGTCGGCGACTTCTCCACATGCAGAACGCCAGGTACGGTGATTGCAATACGCAGGGGAGTCTGTGGAAATTCTTCTCGTATCTGTGCAGCCATGGCGTGTATGGTTGCCTCATCTAAGACTGTTCAGAACCAGAACGCATGAGGGGATGATGTACTCAGTACCAGTCACGTCAACTTCAAAGACTCTTAGCCTCTCATCCGCCTTTCCAGTCTCATCATTGACTTGCTCCAGTAAGACTTTACGGAGTTGTCCAGTATCTCTCCGCGCAGTCGCAAGAACGGGGAGGTCCGTGTTGGACAGCAGCTGTCGCGCAAAGGCGAATCCCAGTCCTTTCGAAGCCGGAGTCACGAGGGCGAACCCACTTTTTGCAGGTGACATTTGAATAGCACGAATTTGATTGCATATATTGAGGACTGAGCTACCAAAACCAGAGAGACTGCATCCACATGGAGGATTATTCTGAAGGTTGAAGGTTGAAGCCTAGATTTTCATGACGTCATGAACATGGCTGCTACTTTGTACTTTGTACAAAGTATGAATTCTTAAATTGATGGCTGTCCGATGGGTGGAAAAACAGGTGCCTTCGGTGGTTATACATCTGCTCGCAAAGTAAAACACCATTGTTTGTCCGAGAGTAAGCTGGCGAGGGTTGTTGGTCGCAGACAGCATCAGATGCATGGGTACTTAGGTTCTAGACGGACTACTACTAAGCCTACGAAGTTTAGAATCGTCTTACTTTATTAGCCAATGATTGCACAAGAAGGCTTCTAAAAACAAGCTATTGGACTGGTGTATTTACTATCTGTAATTGGATAATACATATGTGAAAACGTCAATAAATACATACTTGGTACTTTACGAGTAATTGTCTTCCCCATCGCCGACGAGAGAAAGTTGTAACTAGAAAGAATGTACTCTCAAGGTACCTGATACATCCGCGGCGGTATGGATCAGTAGTAATCAGACCGAATCCGTAACATGTGACTGTACCAACCGTACGGCGCTAAACCCCGGCTGGACATTGAGCGATAAGTCCCGGTCTTTACTGCGATGATCCATCCACGTTCCAGCTCCGGTTTCTTTGATTCTTCAACTACTTACTAGTGTGACTCCATGCATGCTTTGGACCAGTTATTCAGCGTACTGCATAGCCATGGCCTGTCATCTTATTAATTACTAGCCTCCTTTTCTATATTACTTGCTTCCTCATTGGAGCCCCTATTCTCATACGCGTGTTGCTTTCCACATTCCTACGGAGTAGATTCATCAGACTCAATGTGACCTTGACCCTGACTCAAATCACACTCACCGCAATACTCTGTTTAACTAACTCCACATTTTGGTCTCCACTGCCCTCTTTGTACGGCCTGGTGCCCAAAGCGCCATGTACGCATTCTCCACCAAGCGCCAGAGAGACCAGGACCAAGAGGACTTCGATGGAAATGTGTTCCGCGAGACAAAGGTCCGTGAATTTGAGACTGAAGGACCCCTGCTATTCTCGTCCCGCAACTAATGGTAGTCAACAGAAACACAGGTCTCTTCCTCTCCGCGCGTCCCCAAGTGCCCTCCAGTTTTCTTCCCTCCCACAAAGCAACCGGCTTGCATCTGGCTTCGGTTTCTCGACTCTGACCCCAGTGGAATCGTCAGACGATGACAAGGAGGACAATGGTGCTGACAAATTTGCCCATCATGGTTCAACACAACCTCGGGATCAGCCATTACCATCGGAGCAAGGGTGTATTCCAATAATGAGTGCAAGCATGGATATTGACAACGGAAAAGACGCCCTATGTTCGAGCAACAATATTGATCATTCTAACCCGGGATCTGTCGCTGGATATAACAATTACAGTCTCCAGCCGTCGCCAATTCCACATAGACTTGTTGACCAGTCGCTGGTTATAAGCGAAGAGCCGACTACACACTCTTCGGAAGGGAACACTCCTGCCCCAAGAAGTCCCGTCGTAAGAGACATGGTGCAAAACTCTACATCATATACGTCGCAGGGTGTCCCTAGAGGTCCGTACGCGAGCCATGACAGGGTCTGGTGGTGCGGCCAACGCCTCCCCAGTCCGGTCAGTGACAATGGCGACGCCATGGCGATTAGCAGCAAGGACTCTGTGAGCGACGCTGATATGACATACATGTCCCAGCCAGCGTCTCCGCCACCATGGTATTCAGAAACTACGCCAGATGTGTCACAGCCGGCGGGTTCGATGGGCAACTTGAAACGAGAGCATCATATTCCCTCTTCCTCGAAGAAGAAGGCAGCGATTTCCATGGGCTACCGAGCGGATTGCGACAAATGTCGGCGCAGGGTCCCAGGTCATTACAGTCACATCATCCGTCACTGACACACTTATCCCTTTCTGTTCCTTTGCTGTTTTTTTTTATTTGTTTCTACTTGATTTTTATCACTCGACGAGTTCATGATACCAGGCGCTATGGAAGGAATGCACAGGGAAAGGCGGCTGTGCTGTTTTTACTATGATACCAACGGTTTTCGGGATTGTGGGGTTTTATTGGCATGACTTGCATTTGTAGATGCGACCAGTTGGGACAGAGGACTGGTTCGAATGTATCGGAAGAATCAAAGCTTATCCTTCGATAATGCATATTGTTGTCTTTTTTCAGCCTTGGACAACATTTGGCGGCGAGTATCTCCCTCAATAACGACCTAAAAGTTCTATATAAGCGATAGAGTTCGAGCTACTAATCAGGGCCTGCTGCCAACTAGTGGCTAGTTCGTTAGTTGTTGATGTTTTCCGAATTGCTCTTCCGATCTGGCTGACATAAGCGTCCGCATCCGATGGCGGAAGAGCAGGTGACTGGCACCGGATGTCTTTGTCGGAGGTTAATCCGACACAGAGAGAGAGAGAGAGAGAGCTACATTTATAATGGACAATGGGGACTATTTGATAGTTGACAGGATGTAGTGATCTTCGAAGGTTGACATTGTAATATTGTTCTCCGGACACACATCCCCAATCAGAATCTCAAGCAGAAGACGGGGAAACCCCCAGACCGGGACTGCCGACGACTCCACAATTTCCCAAATTTGCCTTCGTCCAGAGTCCCCAGCGGCAGTGCGCTTAGCCGATCTTCATTGCCGGTAGTTCGAAGCCAGCGTGCAACTGGCTCAGTCCGTACGCGAGCCATCCCGAGCCCCGGAATCCCTTCGGGTGGCTATATTTTGATATAAGTATGTTGCCGGGCCCCGGTTGAAAACCGGGGCGAAGCGAAAGTCGAGATCCTCTCCTTCCATTCCTCCCTGTGTCTCTTGCTTGATTCAGCAGTCGAATATCCGTCACCATGGCCTCTCCAATTCCCCGAGGCCTGCGCCAGGTCCTCCAGAAGTCTCCCTCGGACATTGTCATTCTTTCTTCCCTCCGTACCCCGGTTACCCGTGCGAAGAAGGGCGGTTTCAAGGACGCCTATCCCGAAGAGCTGCTCGCTCACGTCCTCCGGGCCACTTTGGAGGCGAACCCGAACCTTGACCCTGCTCTCATTGACGATGTCGCCATCGGCTCCGTCCTCCAGGAACTCGGTGGTGCGAAGGCTGGCCGTATGGCCCAGATCCACGCCGGCTTCCCCCACAGCGTGCCCTTCCACACGATCAACAGACAGTGCTCCTCCGGTCTGGCTGCTATCTCCACCATTGGAAACGGAATCCGCTCCGGAGCGATTAACGTCGGTGTCGGTGGTGGAATGGAGTCCATGACCAGAAACTATGGCTCCCGCGCCATCCCCACCGTTCTCTGGCCCGAGCTGAAGGAGTCTCACTCCCAGGACTCCCGCGACTGCATTATGCCCATGGGTATCACCTCTGAGAACGTTGCTTCGCGCTACGGCATCTCCCGTGCCGACCAGGACGCGTTCGCTGCCGAGTCCCACAAGAAGGCTACTGCCGCCCAGAACGCCGGTCTGTTCGACAAGGAAATCATCCCCGTCAAGACCCTCTCTTATGACCCCGAGAACCCCGATGCTCCTCCCAAGGAGATCACCGTCACCAAGGATGACGGTATTCGCCCCAACATCTCGGTTGAGAAGATGGCTAGCCTGAAGCCCGCTTTCTCTCCCACCGGTGCTAGTACCGCTGGAAACAGCTCCCAGGTCAGCGACGGTGCCGCTGCCGCTCTGCTCATGCGCCGTTCGACCGCCACCGAGCTCGGCCTGACCTCTCAGATCCAGGGCCGCTGGGTTGGTACTGCCGTTGCGGGTTGTGCTCCCGACGAGATGGGTGTCGGTCCCGCGGTTGCTATCCCCAAGCTTCTTCAGCAGCTTGACATGACCGTCTCGGATGTCAACGTCTGGGAAATCAACGAGGCTTTCGCCTCCCAGGCCCTGTACTCTATCCGCAAGCTGGGTATTGATGAGGCCAAGGTCAACCCCAAGGGTGGTGCCATTGCTATCGGTCACCCTCTTGGTGCCACCGGTGCCAGACAGCTTGCCACTTTGCTGCCTGAGATGGAGCGCACCGGCCAGGAAGTCGGTGTTGTGAGCATGTGCATTGGCACTGGTATGGGCATGGCTGGTATGTTCGTCCGGGAGTAAAGGATGAACATAACAAAAAAGCAGAAACAAAATTATGGGGCGTTTCCTTCTTGTACAGGTTATAGCGACTTTAGTTATTATGATATCAGCGTAGAGACGCTTGTAAATACATACACGCACAAATACTATTTATATTCTGTATGAAGATCTATATTTCCAGAGCGATATTCATCAAACTATCTGCGTAAAAATACTATTGCTAGTATTGATGATTTCTTAAGCGATAAAGTGCTCAACTGATCCAACGACGTTGGAAAGGGCTATAGATTCATCGATGCAAATCAACATACTGAATCTGCAACTTAAGAAGCGATGACAGACATGCTCAAGGGATATAGGTGCAGGAACAAAGTAGACCCGAGAAGCCCCCCCTTCCTCCTCAACAGTTCTCTGTACGACTGGAAAATATCCATCCCTCTAGTCCCGTGTAAAAGTATACTACTGAATAACTCCCGACTGCCAAGCCCCATCCATCCCAAGCACGCTCCCCTCACGTGACCTCCCCGGCCGGAACCTCACCACCGCGAAACTTTTCGAACCCCCATCACCTCCGTCCGGGCACCCGCCAGCAAAACCCGCAACCCACCCCAATTGCACAGCACCATGCGACCGTCCGTGCGATTGCTGAGCCTCGACGTCCAGGGCGCCTCGCGGACCCTGTACGTCTGCTCAGTATGCAGAAACGAGGCGCGGCCGCGGCCAATTGTCGCCCGGCAATTCCTTCGCCATGCTTCCAACACACCGCTGAGTGAGCGAGTGAGACGCAAACTTTGGGGTACGGATAACCCGCCGGGATTGAAGGATCCGTACGGAGAGAGTTTGCTTGAGAAGAGGTTCGGAAAGGCGAAGGCTCAGCCGGAGGGCGAGACGGAGGTGGTGAATGCGGCGGAAGCGGCACCTGAGGCTGAGGCTATTGATCAGTTGGAGCCTGGGGTTGACTATGAGCCTGCGACGACGTGGGATGGGTTGGAGCGTGTGGGTCATTTAGGAGGATGGAAGAATGTTCCTCGGGCTGAGGCTGATCGGGTTGGGACGTAAGTTGTTCTTCTTTCGCATAGTTTGGGGTTACGGGGGTTTGGGAGTTGTTTTGGCTAATTGGTTTGTTTGTTTGATGGATAGGTTCGGTCTCAAGAAGAAACTCCGCAAACAGGGTCCCCTGTCTCTTGCTGCGCATCAGGCCGCTGTTGAGATCTGTCTGATGCATGCGCTGAACAAGCCTTTGACGAGCGTCTGCAACGTCACCGAACATGACAAGGCCGTTTTCAAGATGATCTGGAAGACTAAGATCGTGCCTAATGAGGCTGGCAGCTGGGGCAGCGCGCTGGAGTACCACAACAAGCAGGCTAAGGAGGCCCTCGTTTACATCTTCGAGCAGATCGGTGGTAGTCAGCCCGAGGCTGTGGAGCAGCAGCAGGCTGCTGAGGAAACCGCCGAGGTTGAGGAGTTCGAGGAGGCCGCTTGGGAGGGTGAGGAAGAGGAGACCTCAAACGTTCCTTTCTTCGGATACCAGGATGCTCGTGATAAGGGATTCCTGACTTTGTCTTTGGAGGATCAGGAGACGAAGTTTGCTGTTAGTTTTCCCTCTACTATTTTATTTGCTGTGCAGACAGTCGCTGACATTCCTTTTTTTTTTTAATAGTTCCTCAAGAGATTCTCCCAGCTGAGCGGCCACTTCTTCCCCGACAACATCGTTCACCAGATCACCACCGTCAAACAGGCCATCGACTACGTCCAGGGTCAATTGAACCCCAAGCCCAAGAAGCTGGCTGAAATCCTGGAGAACAATGACCGGCTCCAGTCCCTGCCCAACATCAAGGTCTTTTCGAAGAGACAGACCCGCTTGCACCGCGATGACGAGATGGGCCGGAGGAAGATCATTGAAGCCGAGCTTCGTTCCAGAGGACTCCTTGCATAGACTGATTGCATGGCATACATATCTTGCAGGTTTGTTTGGTTTGGCTGGCTGGCTCAAAGATTATCTATCTCTAGTTCTTGTAGCATTTTATATCTAGTACGAAATTTTGCTGTACAATAGGAATTGACGTTTTTTTTTTTTTGTTCATTGGCTTTAATATAGATCGCAGCGAGATCTATCATAAATGGCTAGCATTTTAGTGTATCTCAAGCGTAATATAATATAGTGAAATAGAAAAGACCGGTTCCGTAGCCGGACCTGAACCCCATACGCCTAATGAATTAACACCCTTATATCTGTATAGAAGCTGCAAGAGTAAGCACCGCCATGTTCAACAACTACTTCCTAGCCGCCGCAGGAAGACTAAATCCCCTCGTCATAAAGTCCGTATTCTTGGCATGGGCATCCTTCGACTCCTTCGTAAAGAGACTGCTGATGTTGTCACTAGTCCCCAACATCTTCCGCCGCTTTTTCTTCTCGTTTTCCTCCTCCAGCACCCGCTGCGTCAACAACGCAGTAGCGGCATTCTTGATACCACTCGAGCCGCCCGGCGTGGGTGTAGATGTGTTGCTCCGACTGGCAGTAGCACTTGAAGATTTCTCTGCGGGCTTTGATTCCTTGCCCGCATCCGTCGCATCACCATTCGCGGCGTTCTTCTTGCGTTTCTTCGAGCCGGGGGCTTTCTTCAGCGAGTGCGTAAGACCTTGCTCTGCGAGCTTGTGTCCACGCTCAATGAGCTGCTGCTTATCGGTCTCCTTGGTCGGGAGGATGGGGATCACGTTGTCGGCGGTGTACGGTTCGTCGCACTGAGAAGTCATTAGCCCGATCCCACCAACACGCATATATAAATCCGACTATATATACAGAACGAGATAACATACCTGCAAGCACTTATCCCCCTTGAGTTGGCGAATGGCCTCCTCCGAGAAAACATGACCGCACGGCACCAAATAAACCGACTTGACATTCGGACCCAACTGCTTCGCCGTGACGGGACAGATCCACCCCTCACGCTTATCCTGCTTTCCAGAGGCGGGATGGGCTTCGCGCTCTGTGTCGACTTCGAACTTCAGCTCCACGACGTCCCGGAGCCCCTTGACCCGTCCGCAGAGGATTTCTTCGCAATCGGCCTTGGAGCTGATGCCGTCGGTTTCGTCGCCGGGGAGAAGGAATCTGAGAATGGCGTCTTTATTGTAGAGGTTCCCCACGCAGTCGGAGACAATGGGTCGCATTAATTGGTTGTGTGATATCGGACACGTCGTCCAGGAGTGCTCTTGCTGTTCGCGCTGCGCTTCTTTTACTTGCGCTGTGCTGGGGTTGCGGGCCGCTTCGCGGACGAGCTCGCGACGGGTTGGGATACTGGTGGTGTGGGTAGTTAGTGTTTTGGTTTTTGCTAGAGTGGGAGGGGTTGTAAGAGGCTTTTGAGCATACCTGCCACCATCATTACCCATGTTGTCGCTAAGAAGTGCTATGATTAATAGTTGTGAATGAGAAATGAATGCGACTTGTTGCGGGCTCGCCACTCATTTTACAGAAACAGCGGCAGGCCGATAAGAGCTGAGTCAGCGAGCCCCAGAATGGGCGGGAGATTATCACCAGCTGGCCAGAAGCTCTCTCCGCATTCCTGGTGATGGATTGATTGATTTATTGATCATTTGATTGCTTTGTCTCGTTCTCGCTAGTTTGTCTTCTAGTGCCCCTACACAGCATTGGTCAGGGAGCTCAATGCTGCCACTGCCACCATGATACTTCCTCAGGGATCGCTCTTCTTGGTGAGCATTGCTGCTTGCTCGACCGTCGTGGCTGCGGCGGGTGATGCCTCCTCTCGTCCCCGGGGTGTTAGTCCCGAATGTAAGTGCCATCTATATATCTAGGCTGAGGTCGTGCCACGCACACCCATTATACCTCAGGCTGCATCCTCGTGATTCAATCATGATCTGTTGCATCGTTCGTGCTAATTGGTTTCGTCTTTGACAGTCGCCAAGTTCTACAAAGACACCACCACCTTCACGTGCATTTCCCACCCGGCCATCCAAATTCCCTTCTCCGCCGTGAACGATGATTACTGTGACTGCCCAGATGGCAGTGACGAGCCTGGCACATCTGCCTGTGCATTCCTGTCCCGCAACTCCGCCCTAACACCGGGTGAGCGCCCCGGCAGCGACGATTTCGAGCTGGCATCCGCCCTGCCGGGATTCTACTGCAAGAACAAGGGCCACAAGCCCGGCTACGTCCCTTTCCAGCGAGTAAACGACGGTATCTGTGACTACGAGCTCTGCTGCGACGGCAGTGACGAGTGGGCTCGCGTTGGTGGCACCAAGTGTGAAGACAAGTGCAAGGAGATCGGCAAGGAATGGCGGAAGAAGGAGGAGAAGAGACAGAAGTCCATGACTGCGGCTTTGAGGAAGAAGAAGGATCTGCTCGTGGAGGCTGGTAGACAGCAGAAAGAGGTCGAGGACAGTATCAAGCGTCTGGAAGTGGAGATTCAGGCCCAGGAGCTGAAGGTCAATGATCTTCAGGCGGAGCTGGAGGAGGTGGAGAAGCAGGAGGCGAGCAAGGTCGTGAAGGGCAAGGCGGCGGGCAAGGTCAATGTGCTTGCTGGGTTGGCTAAGAGCCGGGTCGAGGAACTTCGGAACGCCCTGGTGGACGTTCGCAAGGAGCGTGACGATACCCGTGCCCGTGTCAAGGAGCTTGAAGAGATCTTGTCTAAGTTCAAGGTGGAATACAACCCCAACTTCAACGATGAGGGTGTTAAGCGCGCTGTGCGCAGCTGGGAAGACTACGCCGCCAAGGGCACTCTTGAGGGCGCTGTGAACAACGCTCAGGACCGTGATCTGGATGAAATCGCTAAGCCCGACGATGAGAAGGCGGGCATCAACTGGGAGCAGTGGGAGAATGAAGAGGATGGGTGTGAGGCTGGTATTGGTATGTAATTCATTTATGATATGGGGGTTATCGAGTTTCCGCGCTAACATCAGTTTTAGTCTACCAGCTGGCAGCCTACCTTCCGCCTTCCTTGGTTGAGTTCATCGAAGGCAAGGTGCTCTTCGTCAGAGGTCTCTTGGAAGATAACGGAATCCTACCCAAGGCGGCCGAGACTTCTACGTCAGAGTCCAAGGTTGTGTCGGAAGCACGCGAAGCCGTGAAGTCGGCGGAGAAGGAGCTTGAGAACAAGCAGAAACAGCTGAAGGATCACAGATCCGATCTTGAGACGGACTATGGTGTCGGGTCCATCTTCCGTGCTCTCAAGGGCGTCTGCATCTCCAAGGACTCGGGTGAGTACACGTATGAGCACTGCTTCCTGGACCAGACCAAACAGATCCCGAAGAAGGGCGGTGGATCTACACGTATGGGCAAGTACACCGGCATTGGATCTGTGAGTGTTGATGTGCTCAACGAGGCGGGCGAGATTGTCCCTGAAGACAGGGTCACTCTTCAGTATGCCAACGGTCAAGGCTGCTGGAATGGACCAGCCCGCTCAACGACGGTTATCATGACATGCGGCGAAGAGGACGCAATTCTGAAGGTGGCGGAAGATGAGAAGTGCGTGTACTCGATGCATGTCACGTCGCCGGCCGTGTGTCCCGGAGGCGATGAGGGCGCAGCCGCCCCAAACCGCAAGGATGAGCTGTGAGCGGCGATGGAACCATGTTGAGGGTTATATTAGAGCGCTACAATTTTATAGGTTTTGCTTATTCGAATTGCATACACAGCATCTGTTGTACTGACAGTATACATGAAGCTACTGACCTCATGGCTCTAGCATTGATTAGGCAGCTGCTAATTAGCAGAACCGCTGATTAGCGGATGGCATCGGAGTATCTTCTGGAGGTTATCAGTATCCCGGGCTCCCCTTCCCTGGTGTAACCGACCAGTGAGTAGTGCCCTTTTGACGCAGCAGACAGGATCAGATAGGTCCGTCTGACCTGATGGGATTTTCCCATATTGCCATCCCAACAACACAGTAGACGCAGTAAAAACTTGGTGTAGTAACATAACCGCACAACCCTCAACACCCATCAGACGATACTGCAAGTAACTCACTTCGTTGGCTCGCCTCGTCTATCGACAACCCCCATACCAACCAGGCAATGATAAGCAGGTGGAGTAATCGTAATTATGCTGCTTGGTTGCATGGGTGTTGCTTCTTTGATATTTCTCTCGACCCATAGTACCGAAGTATATCCCGCCCGTGGGGCTGTTGATTAGTTGGTGGTGACTGCGAACGAACCTTCTTTTTCTTTTCTCTTATTTCACCCTACCTTTTCTCTGATTAGCGCGCCTTTCGCGGCTGGAGATACTACGTACCTACATACTAAGTTTTGCCTTCTCATAAGCAGTGCTGGGAATTCAGGGTTCCACTCTTTCCGGGGCCTGCCACGATCGAGGGTTTTGAAACACCTGGTGGGGGAGAAAAAAAGACTCATTCTCCATAGCTGAAAGAGGTAATTGGAGCAAGACATCGCTTTGGATGAAGTTAGTAGGGAAGTTTAGATACGAGGTATAATCAGTATAATCATACCATGATCGTCCTGGAAGCAGCAGGGCATGTACAGTGGTGGAGTCTGTGGATGGAGGGGTTTCCATTAGCCATTATCACTACCAGCATAGATAGTTGTACATAAGACACGTCCCAGTTCTAGCTACATCCTCTACATGCAGTGATAGTAGTGATCATAAACAATTGAGTAAAGTAGATAGAGAGAATCTGTCAAAAAAGGACGTGGAATATGATCTCACCGATACGGGTCCCCCACCCAGCAAAGCAAAGCAAAGCAAAGCAAACCCCTCCTCCATCTCCGACTTGTTGCCTCACTTTGCTTTGCCTTTTGACTCCACCTCCACCACACCCTCCTCCTTCTTCTCCTGATTCAACGTGGCATGATAGCTTCCCAGCATCTTAGTTGCAGGACCACTCCATATTATTGACCGATTGGTCGTTGATCTGCTTCCCTTCCCAAATATCCCCCCACCTTGGCCATAGTAGACCAAACATCATCCGTCTACATGCCCAGGACTAGGTTTCCAACCAGGGCACTTTCGGGATCAAGACAGAAGAAAATAAACCGGCGAGCAAGCGGGGATAGTATTGACCAGGTATCCCATGCTTGTTACTAATAAATTAACGCAGTGGCCTGTTTCATCTACTCACCTTTCTTTATAGGGCATCTTTCTAATCTCGGAGGAATGGGTGGTAACGATATCATCCATGCACGCAACACACTACTACTACTAGTAGTAACGAGTACAAGTACCAACAAGTGAAAAAGAAACAGGAAAATACAATCCAAAGTCTTTAGTACAAGTAACTACTATCAAACTATGCTCTCCCACGCCTCGCTGCAGCAAGCAAAAGTAAACTTGGACCCAGTCATATATAGCACTAATCCACCTCCACCTGCAGTTGCAATATATGGAGTACACTACTACAACTGTGGATCACAGCAAGTAGTAGTACCCATCGTGTATCCACTACAACTCAAAACCGATTATCCCCATCCGTCACCTGGCAGATTCTTATTCCAGGGATGGATGGATAGGATGGGTTGAGGAGGGGCAAAAAGTAAAAGCAAAGCAAAGCAAACAGTCGTACAGCATAGCATTTTCTTTCCTAAAGAAAAGCATATAAAGACCCTCCTTTATCCCACATCCTCGCTCTTTTTGTTTATTCTCGCTCATCCACTGCTGTCTGTTCATTACGGAATATACTTCACTTTTCTTCAAATACTTTCATAGTATATATACATACTATACTACCCTACCTACCACCATGGCCCCCTGCGAGTGCAAGTGCTGCTCTGGCAGCTGCAACTCCTGCTCTTGCGCTAACTGCAAGGTGTGTACACATTCCTATTCCATCTTAGCCATGAGAGTATGATAGTATGAAAGTGATCAGAAAACTAATGACGGTCTACTACTAAAGCACTAAACAAACCAACCCCAATACATTCCTACTATGACAACAACGCCTCGTCCTTTTCTATCTTCACTTCGCTTCGCCTCGCCATGCCTCGCATAGTTTGCCATCGTTGAAATAATAAAAAAGAAAAAAAACCAGATGTCGAGTGCAGGTGTCTTGCTCGGCATCATTATTATTATTATTATTATGGCTTCTTCGACTTCGATGCGACTTTTGAATCTTCAGGGGAGTGGGGGGATTAGGGCCATCGGTGTAGGGGAGATTGGTTTGGTTGCATAGTGGTATGGGTGATGAGGTTGTGAATTTCAGTACTTATATTGTGATGTCTTGAGTGTTCAGACGTATATATTTTTTGAATTATATTATTTCAATGGTTTATTTGACTTATCAATTGAGAATTTCTTCAATTATTTGGGATTGTTTGGTATTGGTGTAGATGTTTTTAGTAGTCGGAGATTGGGGTACAAACTAAATACTAATTATGTCAACTGATTTTGTAATTTGATCTCTACCAGGTCTGGATGTTTGCATATGTTGCTACTATATTTGTTTCTTGATTGTGTATGTATAACTATAAAGTGATCACTTATTCTTTTACTGGTCATTGCTTTAAACTAGCTTGAAGACTATAACATCTCTGGTATACCATGTACGATAGAAGTTTCAAGAACCGAGCCATGAAGGGGGGTCAGCAGGACATACTACATGCATGATGCTATGACCACTCGTATCTTCGTATTTTTATCACATGTCTCTTACTGTGTAGTATCTACGTTTATTTGTTATCTACTAGGCTTGTCATAGTAAGATGGTGGAACAAAACATCGGACAATCAGCGTAGCATCTTCTGTTACTACTCCACGAGATCTAGACTCAGATAGGTACAAGCAGGTCGTCCTCCGATTCTAATCGTATAGCCCTTCAGAGCGAGATGTTTATTTCTATATGATAAGAAAATAGAACTATCAGTATGGTCGTCAACAAGTAGTAGTAAGTTAGAATGTGGAAACGTACGGGGCACTGGCACTGGCCGGCGGGGCACTGGCAAGAGGCGCCGCAGCTGCAACCGTGGTCGTTACCTGTCAGTCATCGAGATTAGCAACCTTGTATACCATATCCAGGTAATAGCAGAATACTAGAAGAGTCATTTCAAGCACGAGTATTCGCCAGGACAAGGATGGTGATGCGTAAAAGCAAACATCAAACAGATTCGATTCCCATCCATCCGTACCCCGCACTAATAAACAAACAGAACAAGGGTACTTGAAAGAGGGCTAAGCAAACCACCTACCCATGATGACTGGTTTTAAAGACGAGGTAAAAGTCTTTTAGATTTGGAGTCAAAAGGACAAAAGTCTTCTTTTCCTTGGAGATTGGAAAGAAAAGTGGTTAGAGTGGCAGTGATTTGGGAAGACGGGAAGAAAAGAGAGAGCGGGGTATTTATAGTTAGTTGCGAGGGTCTTAGCGGGTCTGAACTTGAGCACATTTCTGCACCTCGTCTCCAGTCACCATCCGCCATTCATCTCCCTGACTGGATACTACTAGTATTCTATCTTCCTGTTGCTGCAGGTTGGTCGTAAGCTCTTTTCTATGCTTGCCCAAGAGGATGCAGCAGGGCAGATGCATGCATGCATGCATTACTAACTACATCATTGTCTTTTACTCTTGTTTTCTCCTCCCAGCTAACATGATCCTGACCCAGATAGTAAATGACCCTGCAGCTGAGCTGGTCTGACTGCTCTACTGTGAATCAAACCCGCTTACTTCCATCGCTATTGGCCGACTCTCAAGCAATGCAGGAAGACAAAGTGACACCCATTTCTTGCCTGTGCGGAGGTGTGGCACAGGAGATCGAGCTGAAGCAGTCCACCGACCATTCGGCACTCAATTTCTGTCATTGCACGGCCTGTCGCACGGTCACCGGAATGCTGTGCTCGACATACTACCTCCTGCAGGCTAAGCCAGAGAGCCTTGACAGCCTCCAAGAGTACCAGGAAGCTGATTGCATAAGCCGCTATTTCTGTAAAACCTGTGGCGCTCATGTCTTTGCCCATTCGAAACACACAGGGCAATTCTTTGTTGCAGCCGGACTGCTGGCGGGGAGACTACCCCCAACCAAATCTATACGGCATTGGCGGGCTGCCGAGACGCGTGATGGTGGCCTGACACCCTTTCTCTCTGGACAGCCAGAAGAACCTGCTCCAGCATGTTGGCTACGCACGGTTTCCAGCAATCAAGCTAGCCAGCCCGAGGCCGGACTCGAGCCCTCGTCCCGGAATCCTGACGAGCTACTTGCCCGTTGTCATTGCGGGGGTGTTGAATTTTATATCACGCGGCCCGATTCTTCATCCACCAAGCCGACTTCCCCGTGGTCCGATCTGCTTGCACCGTATCATTCACAGTCCTCAAGCAACCCCCAAGACAAGAAGTGGTGGCTGCAGGAGGAGAATACTAAGTATCTGGCGGGTACCTGCGCCTGTCCTTCGTGTCGCCTAGCCAGTGGTTTCCCTATTCAGCCGTGGGCGTTTATTCCTCTATCAAATCTTTACAATAAGGACAAGGTGCCGCTGGCATTTGGCGCCGGCACGATGCGACAGTACAAGAGTTCCCCAGGTGTCTACCGCGACTTCTGCAGCCGCTGTGGCGCATCCCTATTCTGGCATGACGACGAAAGACCACTGCTGATAGATGTGAGTGTTGGCCTACTTAGAGCAGAAGAGGGTTCTAGGGCCAGTGGGTGGTTGAAATGGGCCACACAGAGAGTAAGTTTTGCCGAGATGGCAGCAGATAAGGCCTTGATCAAACACCTGCAGAATGGACTGAAGGAATTTGGGGACAGAGCTTGAATGCAGAGCCGTTTGAATTATGCTTGCCATTCCGTACGTAAACCGCATGTTTATCTAGATAAATCACTTGTAGTAACTATAGTTAATGGGCCGACGGAGATAAGCAAAAAGTGGGATGGAGGACTATCCTCACCGCCTTCCCAACCGCAGCCCCAGACTTTCATTCCGCCGCCGCCGTTGAAAAAAAAAGATCCGCCAAGCGCGTCGTTGTGGGTTGATTGCATCTCAGCCTGTGTTGTCGCTGCACGTCATTCTCCCTATTTTTTTGATACTACTTTTTGATTCTCGTTCCTTCCCTTCTCCCGTCATGCCGCCGGCTTTCGAGTTCCGGGGAAATGACCGACGGTCAGGACACCAACCCCGACATGAGTTCACTTTCCGTTATGCGCGCCCTGGAACCTCCGAACGGCCGCTTTTGA